CACCAGCAGAAATAACCCTGACCTTGCCCAGACTTCTAAATCATACCTGATAGTAATTTCCACTGTTTTCTGTATGATCCAAAATAAGCAAAGACCCCTGGTAATCGTGCATCTCTGGGTGCTGCAGCAACATGGCAGCATGAGGAGCCGGAGTTACCTTTCTTTGCAACTGGGCTGGCAAGAGCCACGTTCTCCCCCATTAAAGCTCCAAAGAGGACCCCAAGGGAGTTTCATTCCGGGATTTTGTTCCAGACACGAGTTTGAGCCAACAGCCTGTGCTCATCTCCCATGTGAAATGAGAGAGTTGCTGGATTTAGTCTGGTTGACTTTGCCCATCAGTGGCTAGCATTGCCTGCAGGTCCTGAGGCTTACGTGACTCCAAGAGCAGGATGGCACGCGCCTGCATTGTCTGTGCAATGCGTTTCTGGCTGCGTTGAAAAAAATTCCATGCAAGTGGGAAGTGTGGCAGCAAGAGGTGAAACCCTTCCAGCCAACTAATCACCACTCCAAGCCTCAGCCTGGAAAGCTGAAGGTGACAGTCCCTCCATCTACACTCCGGTCCCAAGACAACAGCCATGGAGGGTCTCTGCAGGCAGCGCTGTCCGGGTGGCTCATGGCAGTACTTAGGGGGCTTCTATGTCTTTCCATATTTTCCAGCGCTTTTCTGGCACAGTTGGGTAGGGTTAAGAGGGCTGGGAGGGACAGAGCAGCAGAAATACAGTTTATGAGCCTATCTGCAGCATTACAAGAGCTCCAAGCATCGCACAAATCTCTTTCTAAATCTTTGCATGTGGAGATGTGGCAGCAGCAGACATCGAATGGGACGGATAACGGTTTTTCTTCCCTTGCTTTCTGTTGTACTCTTTTTTAGACTGTACATTGTTTGGAGGAGACTCTCAACGGTGTTTTGTGTGTTTGTGTGTACATGTATATTTGTCTCTCAGCAAGCCATAGACAAAACCAGAATGCAAACAATGCCACTCCCTCCTTCTTTGCTTTATAAACCCCAGGGTTGACACTGGCTTCCCCAAGCTCTCAGCCTCTTATCTGTTATCAATGCCTGTGACTATCCAGCTGAAAAATTTACCCAGCACAAGTGAGGCAGATGCTGTTTGCCAGCTAGAGATCAATAAAAAACACGCTGCTTTTTTCTAGTGGAATCCAGAGCATTGGCCAGCACTCATCTTCCTCACCAAAAGATTGTGCCCGTTGTACGATGCTTCAGCTTTGTGTGATCCTAGATGCAGGAACAGAGGTTTGCTTCCACCTGGCTCTGCTTTTTCTCTGATGATGAAAGGAAAAGGTGTTTCAACCTGAGGGAGAGCACATCCTGGCAGCGGCCGGGGGGGTAGAAGACGAGAACGTTGGCAGACCATGGAGGAGGCCTGTCTCCATGTTTAGCTTGTCTCATCTGTGCACAAAGACAGAAGCAGCTTGGGGAAGCTCTCCATCCTTTCAAACGCAGAGCAAAACCGCTCTCCAGCCTCCCTGGGCATCACCTTTGCGAGCACAGGAGGACGTGGCTGCTCGTGGTCCCTGCTACAGCAATGCACCGTACTTGAGCAGACATGCAAATTCAGTCTAACTGAAAATGGCTTATAAACCTCAGCAAGGACTAGCACAGCTGAAAAATAACAATTGCATTCAAAGCAGAAAGCCTATACCCAAGTGAGGTCCTTTATCTGCCCCAAAAAATCAAAAAAGCAAACCACCCTCCTCTGCCCAGCTCCCTGATGCACAGATCAGGCTGCACACTAATCCATTCTCCTTTTTCCTTTTACCATTTTTAGTTCGCTTCAGTGAAAGACTTGAAACCCAGTCACCTAAACGTTCTCATTTTAAGTGTACATGAGACTGAAACAACTACAGGAATGGCCAACGTCACCCACTGGTGATCGGGCAGAGCCACGTGTGGTTTCTGCAATTCGCACACCACCAAACAAGAGTGGGGTGGGAAAAACAGTTTGTGCATAATCACTTCTTAACTGCTTTGATGGTTTCAAGATTTCAAAGTTTGCTGCTGTGGTTCTCCTGAAGCCTGGACAGAGAAAGGTTGCTTTCCAAAACCAGTCACCAGTGCATCCAAAGCATTCCAAGAGGAAAGAAACAGGAAGGCTTTGAAGCCAAGGCAGTGAAACTGCTATACAAAATCATCAAGACTGTACCCAAACAGTGAAAAACATGCTAAGGTATTTAACAGTCAAGGATATAGTACAGCACCAGCGAGGCACGTCACCAAGTACTGCTTTTAAGCAGGTGCTGACCCTGAGCCAGTGAGCAGTCCCAGTTAATTAGTAAGGTAAAGAACACACTTAACAGCAAATGTATTCCCGTTAGTTCACGGAGGTTGCGCTGGCTCTGACAAAAGCTCAGTACGATCCGACCACGGACTAATGCATACGTCACCACGAAGCCCACAGCTGCAACCAAAGAAAGTTTTCTAAAACTTGATTCCAATATCTTATCGTGATTTCAGAATCAAAACCTTTTCTTTTAAAGGAAATTACGAAACTTTAAAAAAACACGTAGGAACATACATCACAAGCGATTATCTTGTTAAAATATTTGCCCATTTTGTGTTTCAAGGACAATTTGTTAATATAGTTAAGCCCCAAAAAACCCCACAAAACCCCACAATTTTTTGTTATCACAATATTGCAGCTGTAGCTGACTGAAGATTCATGTTTTAAACCAACTATTCACAGGCTAAGCAGGCACCTTTAAGAAATTGTATTCTGTGTGTTACAGTGGTACTAACTGAGGTGAAATTAAGCTTTATTCGGTGTAAAACATACACGTACACACAGGCACATATATTTGTGTGAAAAGAACGGGAACCATCATTCCTATGTTTCTTTTTCATTAAACATTTTCTTCTTGTATTTTCTGTTTACTGACATGAATCGGAGCCAAAATCTACCTCCACATCACATGTTAAACAAGATTTTGTTAGGCTGTGCAAAGATGCAGGGAAATACTCATCCTGCAAAGTCTCCCCAGAAACATAAATGGCTCTTTCAAATTCAAATCTACTTTCCTGTTTTAATTAAAGGTTTTGGAAGCATTCAGTGAGATTTAACCTGAAGAACATGAAAGCATAAAACTCCTTTGGTTGTTGCATGAAAAAGATCTAAATCAGTACAAGAAGGGACTTCTGTGCTGTCTGTCTGTGACCCCTCGTATCTGGGTATCTCTCAGTCCTGCTTGCATCTGTCCGCGAAGCAGCTGCCTGTGCGACAGCAGTGCTGCGCTCCGGTTTTCCAAAGGAGGCAGGCGGAGATTAAGGATGGAAGGTTTTTTTAGAAGTTTCCCAGTACCAAAGCATGCAGCCGGTGAACTGTGCAGTCTTTGGGAGCACCCTGATGTCCCACTAAATGCAACCTTTTTCATGTGCTCGTGAAAACCCACCTGAAATCTGAACAGCTCTGAAAATCCAGGCTACAGCGATTTGCTGAAGGTCACGTAAGAAGGTGCATGAAATGCAGAACTGAGCACAACTCTCCATGTCCAAGGCAAAAAGCTTAACAATTTGGCTTTTGTATTTATCATTGCATGCCTCATGAGGATAGGTACCAACAGATACTTTACGTACAAACTACAGCCCAACACAGCCATGATCTGATAAACCAAGCAGAGCGACCCGCATCCAGCATCACCTCTAGAAATACCTTTGTATTCTGACTTAGCTGCCACCAGCCCCACCAACGGAAGCAGCTTCGGCAAGAGACTGACACCAGCCTCTGTCCCTGAGTGTGTGCAGAGCGGCAGGACTCTCCTGGACATACCGGTAGAGTCTCCTGGGGGGTTTGAACACAACATCTCCGCTGTTCCTGGGAGGAAGGGCAGCAGAGCAGCCTTTCTTTCAGCGCTGAGATAAGGCCAGGCTGTGCGGTCACAAGAAAAGGGACATGCGTTTCAGTGAGTTTTGCCAGGTCTCAGGCAGGAGCCGCATGCCGAGCTGCTCAGCAGCTGCGCACACCCCCCACAAACAGAACAGGGCAAGGAAGGTTGCTTTCTTCAAGGAAGGTTGCCTTCTTCAAGGAAGGCTGCTCTGCACACCTAGAGCTGCAGCGGAAGCGATGTGGGCGTGCGCTGCCTCAGTCTGTACCGCAGAAGTCCGTACCTCTGCCTGCACCTTCCCTGCAGGTCTAGAGAGTCAGATGTTTTAAAAACATGGAAAAGAATTGGGGCTGTCCACCGGGATGATGTCAATGCTGCCTTTGTGTGCTGGAGGGTGAGCTTGAGTCAGCAGAGCCAGCTGCTAGAACCAGCTCCAACCCCGCCGCCTGCCAAGGCAGAGCTTAAGCACAGGACTGTCTCCTGCAGCCCTGTTTCCTTGCTTGGGGGAAGAACTGGCTTGCTCCAAGCTAACAGCCAGAGCAGGAGCCAAAACACAAGGCGCTAAGGGCACCTGCAGCACTGCATGTGAGCTGGGAGCCCTGCTAACAGGGCAGAGTGAACAGAAACCGTTATCTCTCGGTCTCTTATCTGCGAAGCGGTGGCAACGGCATTGCCCCACAGAGGACCAGGAGGCTGCAGGTTTTGAAGATACAGCAGACTGCGATGCATACCGATGGGCTGATAACGGGCACATGCACTGGGTTTTTTAGAGCTTTTCACTATTAACTTTTTGTCATTTCAAAACCTGCAAAGCTACTGGCGTATTCCTGCCTTTGTTTTTACAATACAATCTTTGAGTCATATAGTTTTGGCCTGTCAGTACTTGATCACACATTTAAGTAACAAAAAGGAGATGAGAGCTGCAAAGAAAAGTGTATATATATATATATATACAGCCTCTTCAAATATGAGCAGTGCCTACTCTGATGTATGAAAACAGCCAAGGCAAAATCATTTTCATTACTGAAACTTGCTGCGGTGCAGGAAATGTATTCTAACAAAATTAGAGGATGTAACGTACTGTGCGCACATGGTTCGCATCTCAGCAGCACCTGATACCTCCCATTCATGCCACCAGAGTTGCATCTGCTGACACTTACCAGTCGATTTGCAAGAGCGATGGTACACGCTGTAGCTTCAGCTTCTTGCTGACATTTGAGTTTGTCTGAAGTGGCCTTCTCAAACTTGGCTGTGAGCTTTCCCAGGTTCTCGTTGAGGCGCTGCACATGGGAAAAAGGAGAAAATAACAGCACAGCTTTAAGGAAAACCCTTCTTGAGAGTTGATTCACCCTGTAGGCACGGCTGGCCAAGCTCCACCACAGCTCCCGCTGCCCAGGCTGGCACCCAGGGTGCAGCCCCGGCAGTGTTGCAGCACCGGGAGCCGGCACGGCGCAGCGATGTGCGGTGCTATCTTACATGCTTGTAACTCACATCCTTGGCATAGGACAGAGGAAAAGAACATGCAAAACTAATTTATTTGGGGCTCTGCCCTGGTGTGCATTTAAACTGGGAAAGGGAGTCCTTATGGCCGAGTACCAATGATGGCTGAGCAATGAGCAGGACGGCTAAAAAACAGAATTTAATATTTCCAGATGCTGCAGCCCCCTTGGTCACAGTCCAGTCCTTGAGGCTCTGCTGATTCACCAAACTGTGCTGAAAACCCCAAGGGGCTCCTTGAGCAGCCAGAGGTATGCTTGAACCATCTCCAAGCCATACCTCCCGCACCCTCTTTCTACAAGGGAACATGACATATAAGTCAATGAAGTTGTTCTGCTCCTCAAGCTGCCTGAGCATGTGCCTTAGGACACTCCTACAGAGGAGCCCAGCCAGCTCAAGGTGGGACCGTCTCATGTGCAGGGTGGCTGCAAAGTGTTTTGGGGCCGAAGGAGCCCAAGCCACCTGGAGCCCTCCATGCTGTCCCATTCCCCAGCAAAAACAAAGCCCTTTGCTGGGACAGAGCTGCTCACACTCTGGTCTAAAACAAATCAATGGCTCCCACAAGCACTTGGAGCATTTCACTTCTGATAAGAGAAGTAGAAGTAATAATTGATTTTATCTGCACCCAATGCAAACTGCTTACGGCTAAACTGCTTGTAAAGCACTTTAGCACTCTTTGAGCTACGCACTAGAAACAAACCTGAAAATGAAAAAGGATTATATTAGGGATATCTGCAGCTCTCCAGGATACTGGAAAATACAAAGCAGTCTCTCCTCAATCTGCCTTGCAATTAATAACACAAAAAGTTTCTGTCTCACGTGCATATGAACGTATGTGCATAGATATGCTCAGATATATAGATATATAACCCCATTACACAAGCACGTCCTGATAAATGAGTGTCTATGAGCTATGAGGAACAGATCATACCTGCAGTACCCACCAGACACACAAATATATCTGTGTGCTGCTGTGAGTATACATCTTGCTTCTACATCCACCCTCCCCAGATTCATAGCAACCTTATTTCCCAGGCAGACAAAGGAAAAGTACTTTGTATTTTTGACAATCCAAATAGTCTCATTTATTACTAAAAACAGGTATGCGACAGCTCGGGGCCCAGTTGTGAGCAGGTATGAATCAGCCTCACGTCAGTGAAGTCATCCAAGATATCCCAGCTTGATAAGCGAGGATATACCTCCACATCCACTCCCACGCGGAGCACTGTATCATCTCCCCTCTGCAGAGGGGAAAACTCACCTAAACCAGCCAGTTTTGCAAGTGCGTGCCAGTGGGATACCAGTAATCCCCCCAAGACTGCCATTTTCTTTAACTAAATCCCACTTCTTAAAAAAAAAGAAAAATTAAAAAGAAAAGCTCGGACATTAAAAGCTTTAGAAACGAGCAGCATAAAGGGATGAAAAAAGTCCCCCAGCACTGTATTTCACATTTCAGATGGGAGAATTAGAGGCTAAAGACCTCTAAATCCATCCCTGCGTCAGGTGCTGTGCCCGCCCTCCTTTCATCCGCGTCAGGAAGGGGCTACCAGAGCACTCTGGAGGTGGGGTTTTTTTTATATTTTTAGTTTAAAAATGTAGTAAGCATTTTAAGAATAATAAGCCCTAGGAGACATCAAAAGAGGTACGTATTTTCTAGCCTGAAGATGTGCTGGTGGCAGAGATGAGCACTCGGACGAGCTCGGCAGGAGGGCCTGTGCTGCCCCTCTCCAGGTCCGTACCTCAGTCACTTATTTAAAGAAAAATCTGTCCACCCGGCTGCCAGCACAGCTCGGTTTTAAAAGGGGCTTTTGCATGAACTGTTGTGTCAGTACAAAAGCACAGCCACAGAGGATCCTTCGCCCACGAAGAGGGATCCCAGATCCATAGCACCTTAAAAAAAATAGGTAGAAATTCTCTGTAGAAATGCAGAGAATTTTAATCACAGAGTAATTTCTTCTACTCAGTGATTTAAAATTTTTTTTTCTTTTTTTCAAGTAGCAAAAATCTAAATAAGGATAATGCACAAGATATGCTGATGGAGAGCCATGCCGTGACAAGTTATTAGGCACCTGTTGGGGCGGCGGTCATCCCGCAAAACATTCCCATTGCCAGGGACTGAGCACGAGGAGCCAGCCCTGCTCAGCTCCGTGCTACCAGCACCCCGACTCTGCCTCCGGTTCCTCTTCCCTGCCCCTGTGCAGCACACCCAGAACATGCTGGTTTGAGATAACGAGTTTGCTGAGGACCCATGTGTAGAGGCAAATTATATTCTAAAAATTAGGTAGGAATAATAAGAATTAATAATTAGCTTTCCTCTTAAGGCTGGAGAAGAACAGATGAAATGTAGAACGCAGCAATAAAGCAAAAAAAGGAAGACTACAATCTGCTGAAACTAACCCAAACACTACAAGAATGCAGAGAAGCAGCTTTCTCCAAAGCCAAGGATTTCTCCCCAAGCAGTGACCCAGGTGATGGGTCCCACCAGAGGAACTTACAGCAATTTTGGCCTTGATGCTGACCAGCTTGTCCTGGGCAGCCGCCAGCTCTGCGTTGGCTTTGCTCAGAGCCTGCCGCTTCGGCTCCACATCGCAGTACACCTCGTGGAAGCGCACAATGTTCACCACCCAGGAGCAGAGGCCGGCTGCGGCGTAGGACTTGGTGGTCACGAATTCGGGTTTAAACTTGGGATCTTGTAAATAAGGCTGAAGGGCTTTGAGGCAGTTCTCGTGGATGTTCTCCTTGTCGAACTTGATCAAGGAGTCCAGGAAGCCATCCACCCTGGCCATGGCGGCTTTTGCTGCTTTCCAGCTCCTGTCCTTGGGAATCTTTCCTCCCGGGGCCATCAGCACCATCACGGCGGCGGTGACGTTGCTGACGGCTGGAGGCGGCGACCCAAAGGACCTCAGCTCCGTCAGATTCTTCTGTAAAGGGGAAAACAAGGTTGTTAGACAAAAATGGATGGGCTTTCTTTTTACTTTGCCACTAATAGAGTCAGGCTCACAAGCTATCAATCTGATAAATTGGGTTTCTCTCGGCCCGACCATCGCTGCCTTTAAATCACCGCTGTGCACGTTTGCGGCACACGTGTTCACTTCCCGGCGTCCAGCTCCTTAAATCCCACCTGGGACCAGCACAGCAATGCTCCTCCCCAGGCTCCCACCCTTTCCCTGCTGCCAGCCCTCCTGCCTGGGGGAGCAGGAGGTTTTTTGCCCTTTCAGAAAATCAGGATAAGGAAATAGGAAACCTTTTCAAATATTCTATAAATAGCCCCCAGCCCCTCTCAGACTGCCTTGCACAGCTTCCCTTCATGCTCAACTACTCCCCGTGCCAGAGGCACCCAGGCGTTAAAGTCCTGTTGGATTATTTGTGTGCACCCATGTTTCCATAGGGCCATCATCCAGCCCAAATTTAGACAGTTTAACCAAGTACCTGCAGCAGGAGAGCAGTGGCTGGGGCGAACAGGCAGTCCCCCGCAAGAATCAGCTTATGTCTAAGGGCACCCGCGCCCGAGGGGGAGCTCCCACCTCCTCCACTACCAACACAGGTGGTCTTAGCGAGGCCCAAATACTGTGGGATGAATCTTAACCTGAGCAAAGCTGAATTGTGGAGAAAGCACGCATTTCCTAACACACTTGCAATTGCAACGACAACGCGATGCTGAGGGTTTGACCTGCTGACACCTAAAATCCCCTCTCCACGTGTGCCCGAGTTAGCTTCGCATAGGAAGAACCGGCACAGGTAAATCAGCTGTTCTCAGAGGACATGCTGTTGTCACAACAAAGTGTGTCGGGTTTGCGTGGCAAGGTTTTGGTAATGGGGGGAGCTACAGGGACAGCTCTGTGAGAAGCTTCTAGAAGCTTCCCCCGTCTCCGACAGAGCCAGTGCCTGCTCCAAGATGGCCCTGCCACTGGCCAAGGCCAAGCCCATCGGCGACGGTGGCAGCACCTGCGGGAGAGCAGAGTTAAGAAGGGGGAAAAAAAACAACTGGGCAATTGCAGCTGGAGAGAGGAGTGGGAATGTGTGAGGAGCAGCCCTGCAGCCCCCCAGCTCAGTGAAGAAGGAGGGGGAAGATCATTCAAAGCAGCAGGGCGAGGGGGGGGGTTCTGCCCCTCTGCCCCGCTCTGGGGAGACCCCCTGCAGGGCTGCGTCCAGCCCTGGAGGCCTTGGCA